CTCTCTCTCTCTCCCCCCCTCCCTCCCTCTTTCTTCCCTCCATCTCTCTCTCTCTCGCTGGAGCTCTAGCGCTTTGTCTACGTATTTGTTGCTCCACCCCCTAACATGCAATTTTTACTTTTTTTTAAAAGATGGGGTTTCCAAAGAATGGTGACAGTTTAGGGACAAAATTTGCCTATGATGGAAACGTATGTTATGAAATCAGTCAATCTTTATAGCTTTGCCGAAAAAGTGCATTTTCTCAAAGTTCCCCGGACACTAGAGAATTTTAAATCTAAACTGCCTCCGTTTTTTTCAGAATAAGAACGTGGACTCTCCGTGATTCTTTATTAATGTTCATATGTGTAAAGCCCATTCTACAATCGCGTGCAGCATAGTTGTAAGTGGTTGTAGTTGTAAGAATTGATTAATCACAGTCAAATATTTTCTTCGTATTTGACTGTGATTGATTAACTCTTATAACTACAACCATTTACAATTACACTTACGTAATCGTAGAATGGGTTAAAAGTTAATGGTTTAAAAGTTAACGGTTTAAAAGTTAATGGCTGTATAATCTGTGTATAATTGTTATTAGTTCTAATGGCCTCCGCGGCCAATTGTGATTAGGATACTGCCAGAACCGTACAGCGAATTTATCTTTTCATATATATACTAGAATTTTATATTTAAATTTCTATATTAATTTTAAATCGCTTCGTAATTTGGAAAGAACTTTAGAAAAAGTGAATATATACAAAGCATTTGTTCCTTTTAAGCTGTACAAAATAGCTTAAGCTTCAGATAAATTATAAGTTCCCTGAAAACGTGAAGAAATTTAAATTATCTTTCCTTAAAAATTTAAATTAATTTTCTTTATTAACTAAAGAATATTAAATGAATTAACTTTTTTTAAGTGTATCTGTTTATAGTATTTTATTGTCATATTTTAATATGACAATATCTTATATGTTTTAAAAGCAAGCGTCACAAAATGTGTAAAACAGTATAAACAGAGATAGTTAAAAAGAATTTATTTAATATTCTTCAGTTAACAAAAAAATTAATATTTTTTGGATAGATTGAATTATGTTTTGCTTTCACTAATGTATTAGTAAATGTTTGTAACATGTTACGTATACCTTTAAATGAAAAGGTATAAGGCTTGTGTTTGATGTAATAACGTTATAAGATGTTCGTTTCCATTTGTGAGAAACGTGATTGTACGTAGAGGAAATTGGGACGCAATCAGTACGTTCGTTTATACGACAGCTACATAAAATATTAAAAAAAGAGTGATTTAAAGGGATCAAGAGAGATTATGGAAAGGAATTTAATAATTACGTTGAAATATGATTTTAATAAACATATTATGTTTTTGATATTATCTTTCTCTTTTGAAATGGAACACCAAGTTTATATAATATAATAAATTTTTATTATGTTCTTTTTTTTAGTTGATATAGTATAAGAGTAGATTTGTAAAAAATAATTTATTATAATTTATTATAATACACTTAATGGTTCGCTATTAGTTCATCTTTAATTTTACCGAAAATTTAATATTTTATTTATTTGTTATTCAAGATTAATGCAGATTTTGTATCTTTATAGAAAGAGAAATTATGTTTATTATATTGTCTAACAACAGTATTAACCTACTTTAAAAAGAAGTAATGTTTTTAAAAAAAAATTCATAATTTCATAATAATTTCAAGATAATTTATACATATTCCAAAATTCTTCGAATTTTCTTTTTATAAGTTATATACGTTCAACAAATGCAAAACAATATTTTGAAAATTGAACCCTACGATATCTTTTAATAAGAAAAGTGTTTTGTCATTACGTTTCACGTTTGATCGCGTTCCACTTTTCCTCACATCGCTCCGTGAAAAAAAACCACGGTATACATATAATTAACTCGTCGTTGTTTAAAGACGGTTGCTCGACAACACTTGGGCAACGGAGAATCCACGCCATTTCTATGTAATAGCCGGTGCGACCTACGTGTATTTACCAAATTGGGGTTCCATGCAAGTGGAATTAGTAGACAAGACATTGCCGCACACAGAGTTTCGATTCTCAGACATGCGAAACGATATTGGATTGTTCAGGGTGACTATCTATGTCGTGTATATATATTTTGTGTCCATAATAAAAGGAGCATACTTAATCACTGTGAGTGGATTTTCAATGTCCCGCTTTTACAGCTGAAGAAACCTCTTTACAGAAACGCGTACGTTCAATACGTCACACTTCCATTGGTATACATCACTGATATATTCCAGAAATATACGAAGGATTGTGTAGCGATTGGATGGGGTCGACACATACCTAATTTAAACGTAAGCAAGTTCACAAAGTCTTTTATTCAAATACGTCACATAAATGAGGATAATAATTTCAATAGAAGAAACATTTTGTATTCTTTTTTTTCTTATATGTATATAAAAACTAAAAAAAATGAATATATAAATCTTTTTTCAAGCATTATGAAGAGTTTAACCCTTTTGGTCATACTCTAAAAAATTCACACAATTTTTGAAGTGTTACCAAATCGTAATATGGGTTCCATTGACTTCAAAAAATTACATCATATAATTTCAACGTTTAAAAAATAAAACAATGACATTGTAGTGAAAAATTTAATTTCAACACTAATTAAAAATTATATACGAGTTAATTTTAGAAATGGGTTTTTTATTAAAAAAATTTTAACTTTTTAAATTTATAATACTTGCAAATTTTAGTTTTAGTCTAATACTCTTAAGATAATTTACATTATATTTGGATTATTTTGACCCACGGTGACTATGAAAGTTAATTTATTATGAAATAATAATAGAGCAATTTTAGATTCAGTTTAAAGCAAACTTTTTCCGCGATATCTTATCTTCACATCAGTTATTTCCTAATATCTATTCTTTATTAGTTTATTTTAGAATCTCCTATCTCGCGTTTTCTTTAAAAAAAGAAATTTATTTGAATTAATAATTTATTTTAAAAACGTGGCACAATTTAATAAAATATAAGAAGCTGTAGTTGACTAATGAATAATTTATTTCTTTAATTTTCTTGTGGTTTATTATTAGCAAGGAAGTGGTACATATTTGCGACACGTTCGAATTCCATTAATCTCGCCTAACAAATGCCCTATGCCAAATGTGCACAAACAAAAGCAATTATGCGCGGGTGTATTGGAAGGTGGTCGCGACGCCTGTCAGGTTTGTATTAAATTTTATCTATGTATAATATAATATACGTACATATAATGTATATGGTGTTCTTCTTTGGAAATGATTAAACAACAACATATTTTTTTATATTATTTTAGGGAAAAGTAATAAATAAATGAATAACTGGAGAAAAAAAAAGGGAATAATATGGGCCTTCATTTCATTTTTTGCAATTTTTTATTTGTAATTATATTCAAGCTTGATGTAACTATATAAATGTGATTGTAAAGTGGTTTTCCCCCTCCCTAAGTTTATATAAAATCTAATTTCTTCATGTCTGTTTGCACTTCTTATAAAATCCAAATAGCTTGAGTTTATAGAAAGTTCTGAATGTTTTGAGATATTATCAGATTAATTTAGAAATTACTTTTCATGTGTGAATACGTTCTTATAACAATACTCTTACGTTGATCTTGCCCTCGTGAATATTTACTACGAGCACACTTTTTCTCCATTTTACCAGTACTTTTAGGGACTTCTTAAAATCATTTTAAAATGATACTCACAAAGATTTTTAATGAAAAATAACGCTTTGTAATGTCTTTTGATAAAAATCTCTGAACTTACATTAGATATCATATTTATCAGAAAGACCAATACAGGAACTTAGGAACAATAATAAAATTTATATTTAACTATGTCCCAGGAAAGGACATTTACTACTTAATTGTTACTTTCTTATTTATTTAAAACAGAATAACACTCTAAGAATAAATTTAATGTTTATGAAATTCGTTATTTATGAATTTTTAATCATGTTAAGCTTGACAATGAAAATTTAAACTTTAACATTGAAAATCATATGAAAAATCTTTGCTATACTTTATAATAGATAAACATCAACTGTAAAAAACTAATTCAAAAAATTATGATGGCAATTGTTTCAATATTTTGATATTTATCCAAGAATAAGTTAAAAACCTTTTGCAAAAATGATATTAATTATAATAGAAATTTTTATCTTAATATAATTGAAACTCATATCAAGAGCCCACATTTTTTAAAATAAATCATTTTTACACTGAACGGAAGTTTTAGGAAAACAATATTATAATATTCTGTTCTTTTTAGTTTTATTTTTCTTATATAGTTTCACTTTTTGTACCCAGATTCTATCGCAATATTTTCAGGGTGACAGTGGTGGACCATTATTATGCGACGGAACGCAAGTTGGTATTGTCTCTTGGGGCGAAGGATGTGCTCGTCCGAATACAGCGGGTGTTTATTCTCGTGTGGATTTTTATTTACAATGGTTAAACGAAACTATTGTTCAAAATGAAGCCACGAAATACTCTTTCCAAGACATTATAATTGTTTTTGCGTCTTATTGCCTGTATATTTTATCGATACATTGATTATTGTATGTATATAAGACAAGTAAAGCTATTATTGTTTGTATTGAGCTGCAACATATTGTATTATTATTATATGTTCACTATTCGGACTAAATTCATTGTTCATTGTAGTTCTTGTTTAAATTATATTCAAATTTAGATAATTGTTGAGTCAAATATGTATTTCGTGCTCGATATTGTTTTCATCTCCATGTTTATTTTGGTATAATCGAGTTTATCGGTACCGAAACTTTTGAAATTCGCGATATAGTTGTTTAACCGATCAGCTGTTGACTTGGGCATTCATAATGTACACATTCGCGACTTCGTCTATTGTTCTCAGAAACGTGAAGAAGATTCCGGGAATATATTTCTGTTAAACGATTTAACCAGTCTCATTCGAAGCTCGTGAACACATATATCTCTTTCCCTAAGTCTCTCATCTTTCCTTTAACACTTCTTCGACTCCTCGTATACGTTTGCTTTACGATCAACATCATCCTCGAATCCTTTTATCTTTTTGTAATTTCAACACATTCATCAAGATCCCTCCTATATACTCTGAAAAAGTTATTTATTTCCTGCATATAAATTGAAAATATTATTAAATTATTATATACAAAAAGTAGTTAATTTTTAGCTGCAGACTTTAAAAAATTACTTTTCTTATCATTTTAAAAATATGTTTTTAAAATATATTATTTAATAAATAAAGAGAAAGTTTGTTCATATTATTAAGATCAGTTTAAGATTCCTATCATCAATAAAAGAAGTTACTTTGGAAAACTATTTCTCGTCGTCTTATGAACAAATTATTTTTTTAGATTCCATTATTTCGCAAAAAAAAAAAGAATTAAATTCCGTTCATATTATTAAGATCAATTAAAATTTTAAAATTATTTCTGGCTGTATCAAAAAACAAATAAATATCATTTAAGAATTTATAATTTAGAAAAAAGAAATTTCACTGATATTATTAACACCAATTTAAGATTTTTGCTATTAATAAGAAGAATCATTTTGAAAAATTATTTCTTGCCATCTTACAAAGGTATCTTTTAAAAATCTATTATTTAATGGAATATAAAAAGAGAGCTTTTATTTTATTAAAATCAGTCTATCCTGTTATTAATAAAAAAAAAAAACATTCTATTTCCATTTCCTGTATTCCTTTTGATGTTATCTCAATGCAATGGGAGATATATACATATCTCAATACAGCAATGAGCGCCATCATTCTGTCACATTTTCAGGTTTATTCTATATATTCCATCGTTTCTCCTCCTGATCGTTCAATTTCCCTTCTCTTTTTCCTATTTCCTTTTACTTGATTTCTTGCCTTCCTATTTCCTTTTTATTTTAATCGTATGTTCTTTTATTTTTTTTCCTTTACTCATCTTTCTTTCCCTCCTTCTCCTTCCCCTCTTTTTACTTCTTTTCCGTCTTCCTCTTCTTCCTTTTTTAGGCAATGTACGTTGTTCTATTTATAAAGCATATGCATGGCTCACACATAAAGTAATGCGCAAATAATGTTATGTTATTTATATCAGAAAATCGAATGAGAATTCGCACGGAGGACAAAGAAAATTTCCGACAATAATACAACAGGTTCTAAATACATCTTTCCTGCAGTCGTTCTCCTCGTCTCTCGAGAATGAACAGTTACGAGTGAAAGTGATCTGGGCCTGGATGACGCACGCGTATCTGAGTCCCAACAGTCTACAGACTGCAGTCAAAGGAATCGGTACTGTATTTACTATGTGTAATCGGCGATATCGGAGTGATTAATAAACGCCATTTGTTATAACAATTAACGGCCATAATTTAGCGGTCTATCTAAAATAAATGTAAAGAGAATATGAAACTTTTTCGCTATCGTTATCACAAGTGATAAAAAATAGAACGGGTATAGATATAAGCATAGCAAACGTTAGGGATTTATTTTTTGTATAACTTCTATCGAGATTGTACCTATCTTATCAAGTAATACAGTGAATTAAAATTATGATATAGGAAGACGCTTAAATATTAAATAAAAATCAGTGATACACAGTGTTTCATATCAAATACAGAATCCAACGTTTACTGTACTCGAAGTACGATATTGTAAATATTTTTTTAATTTGTAACACGTTCCAGATTATTATCTGACGCATCAAATATAACGCGTCGAAGAAGTTTAGCGCGCTATGATGTTCTTTAGTGACGTGGCACTTCTACTTACAATTTTACTTTTTGCGACGTACGAAGTTCACGGTGAGTTCGCCTCTTCTTAAGTCTATCTATTTATGATTAACATGTATTGTATTTGTGTAATAATAATGTCACGTAATATTACACTCAGTTTGTGTGTGTATGAATAATACCCATGTTTACATGTATTAACAAGCGAAAGTAAAAGCCGGCACGCCGTACAATGAGGACGCGACATTTCGTTCGCGAATGTATATACCGAGTGTCTCGAAAATAACTTCCATTATTGCTTTATCTATAAATTCTTTGATCAATTTAATATTTCTTTATTGAGAATTTAGGTTTTTGATTGTTGATCGCTGGATATAATATGATTTTTGGAATTTATATTGGTGATCTATTTAAATATGTGTTTTAAATAGAAATAAAACTCGAAAAAACAAGTGATTAATTACTTTTATAAAACATCTTTTTAAATTTGTGAGCGTAGTATATAAATTAATACAATTATTACAAAGAGATATTTTCTAAAGTAAAATATATCAAAATACTTGTTTTAATACGTATTAACAATTTTTTATTATACCTATTAATTTAATGTATTGATTGTCACATAAAAGACAAACTTATTTGCAAAAATAATAACTTCGTATTTAGCTGCAATAATAATTATTATCTTACGTTTATATTCTCTCCAAATTAATTCTATCTTAAATAAATACACTTATGTTTTAAAATAATTATATTAATCATTATATTAATTAATCGAGTCAACACACAAATTAAATGGTTTAAAATCTTTTTTTGAAAAATAAGGATCTCGAAGTAATGTCATTTGGAAAACTGATCTGTCAATGTTCTATTACAGGACTCATAAGACCGAAACATGATAAGGTCGTCGTTTGCTACGTCGCATCTTGGGCTGCCTATAGACAAGGAAATGGAGCATTCTCCTTAGAAAATCTCCGCTCAGAATACTGTACTCACTTAATTTATGCATTTGCTGGTTTAAATGCTTCGAATTGGACAATAAGAAGTCTCGATCCTTGGGCAGATATGGAAAAAGATGGTAATAACAATTATAATGTGATATCAAGCTTATATCAATTTTTATAATTATGAATTTTTGTAAAAAGTTAACTAATTAAGAACTAAATGTTTTTTACAAAATTATTAAAGAAACCAAATGATCGAAAATTATCTTAAAAAAATGAAGTAAGAAAGGGACAATTAATCAATAATTTTAAAAATAAATATACTTCCCAGGTTAAAAAAACAATGAGCTATATTTGTTATTATAATTCAATAAATTTATTACAATCAATAATATTAATTCGGCGGAACGTTTCGACTTTACAAAGTCATCATCAGCCGCATAAAATCCAAATCTAATTAATAAGTTTACATGACAATGTCAAAGACGCAAAATCAACATTCAAATTATACAATTGTAATTCTCAAATATATAAAAATATACACCCTAGCATGTCGCAAGATTTGTGATACGTTATAATTACTCTGATGTTTGATTGTAGTAGTCAATTTACTTGAACGATGAAAAAACCTGTTATACTCCATTCTTCGTTTTTTGACGAGAAAGGTTAGTCCAAATAAGAGATTTTCCGTCCATTAGTCAAAAATAAAATTACATAGAGCAAATATATGGATTTCATGCTATCAAGTTTGTATATGTAGGATGAAACTGCATAAATTGAGAAATTGACAATTTTTATTTTTTAAAACGATAATGAAACAAATGTAAAACAAACCAAATATTGAACACTTACATTATAAAAGAAGGTAATTATAATAACAAATATAGCTCATTGTTTTTTTGACCTGGGAAGTATACTTATTTAAAAAATTTTTTTAATTTACATGAGCTGATAATAATTATTAATCAATAATTCATTAAATACCGATGAGAATATATATGTGTATATATATGAATATTTGAGTATATATCATACATATATTATATATATATATGAATATTTATATGAGTATATAAATTCACAACAAAAATTATATTAGAAGCATCCAAGATCCCCCCAGCTTGATCGTAAATGGTTTATTTTCATCGGTATTTATTATAGTTTGAAACTCTCAACCGTCTCACGGTCCAAATAAGATTTGATATTGATAATTCATTAAATTATCCAGAATAGTTGTTAATTAATTTTTTGAAAACGAGAATTTTTTAACAAAGAAATTTTCTAAGAATTTTTGGAGTCGCTGAATTTTATTTTAGCCTCAAATTCTAAAATTGAAGTTTAAAAGGTTAATCTGATTATCGTAAAATTCAATTTTAAGGATTTTTTGGTATTGCTGAGTTCGAATGTAGCCAAAAAATATCGAATTTTGAACAAATGTAATTTCTAATAATTTATTAAAGAGAATCTAGCGCTACAGACTTTTAAAATTAAAGTTTGAAAGTTATTTTGGGAATCAATAAAGTAGTAAATGTATAAGTACTAGTTAATTAGCCAATTGTTAGACAAAATGATAAAATAAAACATTTCAAATATTAATTATGCTTTTAATGATATATACAAATCTAAATAAATTCGTTATTATAATTTTATAAATAACAAATTTATTTAGAGTCGTACATATTATTAAAAGTTTAACACAATATTTAAAATTTCGTACCACTTTGTCCAACGAATTAGGTTATGACTACTAACTGTCCATTAACTAGTACATTTACATTACTAATTGTTTGCATATAGTATAGATAAACTTCAAATAAAGAAAAACTGAAAATTTTATTTTACAATTGAAAACTTCGTAAAATCGAATTTTAATAAATAATTAGATTATATTTTTTTAAATTATTCTGTCTGTATTAATGGCTCTATTATTTTTTATTTTTTATTTTTAACCTCATATTCTCTCTCTCTCAAATAAAGTATAACTAAATTACTTATCCCATAAGTAATTATTCTATGGTGAGTGCATAGGTCAGTTTTATAACAATTGAACCAAACACTTTATAAAATGAAAGGAAATGATTTCAAATAGGGTTGCGCTCATCCATAAAAAATTTTAAAAAATGGATGTTTATATTCGACACTTTGAATTATTAAACTTGAATGAAAGTTTTATAAATATAATTTGAAAATATTTATGGATGTATATAGGAATTGGCAACTACAGAAAAATGACAACGCTTCGCAATCAGGGTCTAAAAGTATCACTCGGTATTGGCGGATGGAACGAAGGCAGCACAAATTATTCATTAATGGCTTCTTCACCTGATCGTAGGAGGATTTTCATCGCTAGCACTGTTGAATTTCTCAAGTGTGTTTACTGTGATGTATTTATTTTAATTCTTATTCTCTGTTATCTTTTCATTATAGAAAGTTAATTCTTTAAGTAAAATCTTCTTTATTCAGGAAAAGTTTGTTATATGCGTTACAATATTCTATGATTTAGTTAAACGTTACAACATCTATCGATAATTAAAACGTTATTTTGATCCATTTTGTTTTAATTTTTTAATTTTTTATCTATATTGTGCTGTCATGTACGTAGTGCTATTGGATTTTATGATTTTTTTTAAATTAAATTTTATCTCAACAGAATGTATGGATTTGATGGACTAGATCTTGACTGGGAATTCCCCGGAAGTCGAGGAGGTGCTCCGTACGATAAAGAGAATTTTGTTAGCCTCGTGAAGGTAAAAATATTATATAGGTATCCAGTAAAGAGACGATTTCCGTTTAAGGGGAGATTCTTGAGATAATTTTGAGACGAAAATTCTAATACCAAAATGTTGAGGCTATAATAACTTTTGAATTATAAGCGTTTAAAATTAACGAATCATATCGTCTAAAGTTGGCGCGTTCAGGAGCGGGACAACGCAAAGTACTAAACGCGAAAACTTATCACTTCTTTTGTCAATATTGATTTTATGAGATTACATATATGAATATAAGATTTTATTCTATTGATATTTCTATAAATGCATTATTCAAATACACTTTAAACATTTTATTAAAATAATCTTTATTAAAATAATAAAGGAGAAACTATAGGAACTTGTATGAATATTATAAAATCATTAATTATGAACAATTATTTGTACAACTTTATGATAATTAATTAACCTTATGATAATTAATTTACAAAATAAATTATGTATATTGTAATAAATGTTCGAACTGTGTTCCATTCATATCTATGCATAATCTTGCGCGTCTCAATAAACTTTGTTGCGCATTGATTATCATATCGAGTGATACGCTTGTAACTGCTTTAACAATGCGATTGTGTAAGTCCTCCCGATTGCGTACTAGCTCCCGATAAATATAATTTTTTAAATGTCCCCAGAGAAAAAAAACTAATGGAGTTAAGTGATCTCGCTGGCCAATATTGCGGTCCATTGATATTTCTTATTACTTAATATGACGAAGAGAGTAATTTCACACGTAAAGAAAGTTATGAAGTTATGAGCAGATATGCAAAACAACTTTCGATAAGTCAGCTTTCGCGTTTAGTACTTTGCGTTGTGCCGCTCCTGAGCGCGCCAACTTTAGACGATATGATTCGTTAATTTTAAACGCTTATAATTCAAAAGTTATTATAGCCTC